ATGAAAGCTGACCCCAATGACCTCCAAGCCAAGCTCTCCAGCACGTCCCAGCAGCTTACCAACTGACTCCAGTCTGGCGCCAAACTTTGAACTGAATCTTATCTTGGATGCAGAGTCATCCACTGCGATGCGGAGTACCAATCTGGAAAAAGTGATTCAAAAGTATTAATCGGTAAGCTAACAATAATCAACTAAACAAAGGAGCAAAAAATATCAGTAGTTGTTCACTCACTTGGCTTTGGCGTGACTAAGAGATATTTTTAGGAGTTCTTCCTCACTATCAAAAGTCATCATATCGACTCCATGAGTACAGGCATACTTGATGTGCGACAGTGGTTTGGTTGTGTGTGCGTAAATGATTTTGTCAGGTGTCACTCCGAGGGACAGCATCTGCTGGATCTCGACCTGTGATCGACCAAAGCGTGTTTCAAATGAGCAAACTGCTTCTCCACAACAAAGACAACACAGAGCTGGATTCTCTTTGAAATACTTCATCGGTACCTTGCTAGCACAGTCGAAACCTGTGTCCAGAGCACTCATCATCCTCAAAACTGATGCATCGTTGTTGCACTTCACTGCATAGAAAGGCTTGACTCGAGGTAAGTTAGTACGCCACCTGAGGTGCCTTTCAAATATACTATCCAGACTTGCCACATAGACTGGCTCTTCATTGTCCTGAACAAATAGAGCAAAGTCAACATTTAGTTCACATCTCAAGAAAGCTCAACTATCACACGATACATGGACACAATTACACAGAGATTCATAGCTAGGAAAGCTTAGGTGACATGATGTCTCTGATACTCACCGCTGAACCACACTCTTTTATTTTACTGTCTAGGAAGTCTCTGATGGTCCTTCCATTGTCTGGAATGACAATGCAACAGTTCTCAGGGGACAAAACATGCACAACTGATCCCTTCGTAGTTACTGGTGCTGGGATGACTAGCAGGAAAAATAATGAATAAATATTGTAAAGATACGGCTGGATCACAATAGAAAGCAGCTTTGTCTTTGTTTGTCTACATTGTGCCACACTAATACAGTAGTCAAAAGCCCAAACTGTAAGCACATATGAATATTAACATCACAGATCACATTAAACATCTTACCATGGCCGATATGCTCCTCCATTTCTTGCAACTCTGAAAATCTCAAGTTTCAAATTAGAGTTAGTGTGATCGCAGTATTTCTATGAAACAGACCTGGAATTAAGTCTGACAGTAAGTACTGACACACATCTGATTCATACTCACAAGAACCTGCTTGGACGGATGCTTGTTCCGTCCCTCTTCACTTTACCCCTCCCACGGTTTCTATGCCAGCAAGAAAACTTTCTACCTTAAGAAAACATTTCTCTGCAATAGTTAATCTCCACTCATTATACTATGACACACAGATCAGATGTTCAGCAATATGCCAGAGTGGAACAAAAGCTGTTTATTCTGGTTGCTAATCATTTGAGTCGTTATGGGGAGAGCAGTCAGGGAGCGTGTGGAAGTTGAACGACTTTTCGTCACATATTCTTACATTCTTTATATCACATGGTGGTGAGTTGGATCAGATGGCAGGGAGAGGCTGCTGGACAGACCTGGTAAAACCAAAAGTGTATTGAGGGTGAACTGGGAATGTCCAGCTGAGGCCCCTGTCCATGAAGTCCTCAACTCCCAGGCCTCCTTTAGAAGTTTTCTGGGCATTCCCGACTGGTGAGA